TTAATTTTCAGCATCCATCAATCTGTGAGTTTCCCTCTAAGCAGTTTTACGATGRCATGCTAMAAACATCTGACATCGTGACGTCCCGCAACACAGCTAACGTGCAGATCTGGCCTGCATTGGGTACAAGAGTATGTTTCTGCCACATTGAAGGCGTAGAAGAATCCTCTGTTATATCAACTGTTGACAGTGGAGCTGACTCTAAATACAACATGGACGAAGCCAAGAAAGCTGTAAGTTCAAATATGGGCTGTAGGAGAATATTTGGTTTGTGACGGGGAAAGCCTACCCTCCTTAATTTTTAGTAAAAAGAAAATACAACAGAAACTGGGCTCCCTGTTTTAATGACGTATTTGCGGTTTTTCATAATAAGATACTAAAATACTAAAAACTATTAAAGGAGGTCGAACGACCATTTAATCCATGTTTATTCATCGAAGACTAACGTAACAATCAATAAAACAAGGATAGACAGATCCAAGTGAGTAATTAGCGATTCGGTCTACTAAAAACAAGCATTTTCCCCGTCACAAACCAAATATTCTCCTACAGCACATGGTTCAAATGTTTGTTTTCTTTAATTACAGTCTTTAGTAGCTTTTTATTGCGAGAATAACTTTTATCAGTCAAATCTCGATCGGGGGGAAGGGGGAATTCGAATGAGTGGACGGACTGGAAGGTTTGTCCGTCCGTCCTTGCTCTTCCTAGTTTCCTTCCTATTTTTGTCCAGTCCTATTTCCCCCAGTTTTGTTTGGTTTCTCGAAATTATTTGCATCAAACGCCGTCTGCTCTAACGAATTAATGACGAAGTCGTCATATACAAATCGCTTGCCTTTTTGTAGATCTTATACCCTAAAAGGGACCATAAATTCAGTTGGTGCGCATTTCCGTCGTTATCACCCTAAGCGGGACCAAAACCCTGATTTCAAACCCTAAAAGGAACTACGAGGACCCCCGCCCCCTTTCATAAGGGAGTCCCCCCCCCCAGAAAAAGTGATTTTATTTTTTATTTTCCTACTAGGCTATAAGTTATATTCTACTAGTAACAAAAGTGCCGGCTTCGAATATCAAAACTTACATTACAATTAACGTTTATTCTAAACTTGTTTGCAGCTATGTGTTTGACCAACTAGTTGGATTTGAATAAAACAACTAGTCATCTCGCTTTCATCTGGCCTATGAGTCAACAGCCTATTAGGCCTTAATATGAGTCCTTTTTGGCCATATAAGGGGAAGGCATAAAGTTTAGATATGGGGTACATTTCGGCGTTCCTTCGTCCGACCGTCCGCGAAAATATAGGCGTAAGAAATTTAATAACTTTGTTGCAAGTAAAACATCGTTTCTTTGTTACATTTTCTTGCTTCTTCCAACACCACTACCAACATCATATTTYATTTAGTTACATYGGAATTRAATCCTGGTTCAWTTTACATTAATATRCACTGCTCATWATATGTTKATGTTATATTTAAGGTCTATCTGGCTAAATACCTGGTTAACAGCCACATACAACAGATAAAAGAGAAGAATGTAGTCATCCTGACGCCATACAGACAACAACGCAAAGTCATTCAAGATATTCTGAAAGGAGCTGGCAAGGATATCCTTGTTACTACTATCATTAAAAGCCAAGGTCATTAATAATYATTTATTACTTGTATTATTATTCATTATTTGTATTACTGTATCAATCTATTTTCAAGCCTCTTCTACTGAAAAAACTTTTTTCATATTTCAACAACCTTTGTCCATTTTGTGTTTTTGGCGTACGTTAATCAAAAAATTCCAGGGTTTCTCTGGATTCTTCACTTTTCCTACCTGCCAAAAACCCAATCCAAGTCGTGCACTGACTCAAATAGCARTAGTTGATTCAGGGTTTGATTACTATAAATATAGAAATTTGATTGAGTGGAAAACAAATATGTAGAATACGTAATTTATGGTTTCTGTAAATACCTCGTGGATCACAGGAAGATGATATAAAGGCAAAGCAAGTGTGTAATAGTACTTCAACTTGTAAAAACACTGTATTAAAATAACTTTTTTCATTTAAAATTTCTCTTTTATTTTTTCCCTCTAGGAAGTGAATGGGACTATGTAATCCTGTCTCTKGTTCGTTCGCTTCCTGAACAAGAATTAGAACCTGAACCATCGTCATCATGGCTCGGTGAACATCTTGGATTCATTTCGGATGAACATCAGATTAACGTGGCCCTGACACGAGCTAAACATGGACTTTTCATCATCGGTAAATCTTAACATTAATCTTTCCTTCAATAWTTTGCAGTCTTTCATATTAATCCTCAATTGTTTCCAAGATAAAGGCTAAATATCACGAGTGATYAAGACCCTTTCTCATGTTTAATGAAGTAGTCAGATTAATTTTGCAGTTCAGTTCTTTGGCACTATTTTTTTTTGGAGTACATGTGACATCGCCATAGCTGCTATAATAGTTGACTTGGCGGCCATGTGTCTTTTGTTTTCATATTCTCATGGAAAGGGATGCACACCACCAATTGTGCTTTGTACATTTTGC